CAATCTATTAGCCGCAAATACTTTTAGTATTAGCTATCTAAATATTTTTCCCAAGGGATTAGATAATAATCTATCTGATGTTAGTATTTGAAGATTATTCCTCAGTAAAGAGACTTATTTATTGTACTTAAGTTACTTGAAGGCCACCTTCAAAAAGTTCAGAACACATACAGTATGACATAGTTGATAGAAATTCAATAACCAATTCTCTTTGGAAACTGTAATTGCAGCCAACATTTTTACTACCTACTCTATGTGAGACACTGTCTTACAAGCTTTACATGTACTCATTCATCTCATTCTCTTATTGGTCATATGAGGTAGATATTATTGTCCCTATTTTATAAACGAGAACTAAAGTACAGAGTAGGTAAATTTGAGCAAGATTACACAGAAAATTTGTTATCACTTCAGGAGGTTCTGGATTTTGTAAATAGCAAAAACCATAGACATTAGAAAAGGGTATGTATAAACTTATATACCTCCCTCTTCTACTCACCTTCTCACCCAGTACTGGGGATTGAACCCAGAGACACTCTATTACTGAGCTATATCCTCACCCCTTTTAAATTTTTCATTTTGACTTGGGGTCTTGCTAAATTTCCCGGGCTTAGCCTACTTTCCAACTTCCCATCCTCCTGTCTCAGCCTCCAGAGTAGCTGAGACGATAGATGTGCAACATAATGCCCAACCCTTTCCCACTTCTGAGTAAGAGTCAGTATATCTCCATACTGCCACTGAATAAATACGTGTGTACACGGTAATTTACAACACACATGAATTTCTATTGTTAATTTTCTTTTTATTATATAAACAGTATTATATAACATATGGACATTTTAAAACTTGTTCAAGTTTATTTGTAAACTCTTAGAAAAAATTTCTTTGTCAACGTTTATGCACATTACACTAGGTAAATGGTATAAATTTTAAAAATGTTGAATTAATTATTGGCACTCCTTAATTACCTATGGATTAAGACATGCTGAAGGCCTTATGGTAACATAAAAAAAATAAACCCTGGAAACAGTATTAAGAATTTGGAGATAACTGGGTCTAACAGTATGTCTTTACACACTCTCTTCCATATCTCCCCCAATGCACACCAATACCCAACTAAGCCAAATGAGTCTTGAAGTCTACTCAATCTCTAGTTTAGATCTTCAAGCCTTCCTTTATTGTTTAAGCTGATGACTGTATCTTTAGTTACCTGGAACATAAAAATCATAATATACTAGATGTGGGGGGTGGGGTATTACCTTTTGTAAACCTCAATTTTCTTGGTGGTAAAATGAGACTGCCTTTAGCACATTTTCCTTTTAGCAAAACACTTATCTCCCTTAGACTTAGTTTACTCATCTCTCAAATGATGATACATGTTAAGAATTTATGTGCTAATAAGTATATGCCACATAATATGCACTGGAATAAAAATTACTGTCATTTTTGCAATACTCATTAAAAATATTATTCTAAAGATATGTAAAATTTTGAAGTTCCAATTGATACATAACATTAAAAGTAATTTTTTAAAAACTTGTCATCAAACTTAAATTTTATTTTAACAATGATAGCTTAAAACTTTCTGAGTATTTAATATTTACCAAAGACAGTTTTATGTAAGTACTGTATTAAACAATGTAAACATGATAAGAATGATATGATCTATCTTTGGTCATGTTATTGTTATCCCCATTTTATAGCTAAGGAGAAGTACACAGTGATGAAGTGACAAACTCAGAGCTGGGACACAAAGTCAAGCTGTCTGACCACACTTTCTGTGTCTCTCTTAACAACTTTTACTGTATTAACTTGTTTTTTGGGCTGAATAGCTATAACAGTTATAAAAAAATTAAAAATTAGTTAATTTAAAAATTAGTTTTCAAACACCAAATTATGTGTCTACTCTTCCGGCAGATGCGGTGCCACTAAGCTAAATCCCTGGCCTCTGTGTCTACTCTTGAGCAGGCTTTTTCCGTATTCTCACTCCCTCCTTGCTAAGTCAAAGGATTTGAAAATGGACTTATTTCTACAAATGGGTCTTTATGTACACCTGTGTTGAAAGATGAAGAAAAATATAATCAATACGCTAAGAGTACAAAGATTATATAAGAACAATGATAGGAAAAGGCTGCACCCTTGTAATACCTTTTAAGATGAAAACATTAAGTATGGTACATACCTTGGTGAAAATGGATACAATGACTACAGATCATGAAAATATACACAAAGTTAACAAACATGAGATATTCTGGTCTTTCATACGCCATTCTTAACATACTTGTCAATAAGATCCAATTTAAAGGTAAATCAGTCATATCATTTCCCATTCCTCCTCTGCTTAAAATCCTACGTAGGCGCCTCACCTTGACCTAATATCTGTGGATTTTGCCAACTCTTCATGCCATTTTTGACTATCCTCCCATTGATTATTCTGTGTGAGCCATTCTTGGTCTTTCCCTTGCAACTCATTTCTGCCTTAAGTCTTTTGTCTGGACTATTCCCTCTACCTAGAAAGCTCATATCCCATATCTTCTCAAGGCTCTCTCCTTTACTTTATTCAGACGTCATCCTCCTCTGATGCTCCATGCTCATTCCATAGAAAGAAACCGTACGTCCACCCTAGTCTCTTAATCGCAGTCTCTATTTTATACCTTCATAGTACTTGTTACTATCTAAAATTTAATTAATCATCTCTTTCATTACTCTCTTGTATCTAGTATACAAGTGGTGTACAGTGGACCCTAATTATTCATTGAATGATTAAGTAAAAAGCACTGAAGAATAATGATTAAACTAATTTACATGTACTAAAGACCAAATGTAAAGAAGCCATAAAGGAAACAAAACAGGCTCCCTATTCTGACTCTACTTATTCAGTTTGAATGGTAATATGAATACAAAGAATATAAGGCAGCTAGAAGTTTAAATGCACAGAAATGCAAAAATTAGTTAAGTATAGCCCTAATGTCCCCATTAAATGAGTGTATTTTGGTAACTAACAGCAAGTAAGAACCATGCTCCAGAGGATATTTTTTTTTAGCCAGATAATTTTTCACCATCCAACTTTCCACTTATTTATAAAAAAATACAATTTGGAAAGGACAAACAACTAATGAGTAATCTGACTATGGTTTTATTTAAATTTCAATATATTTTCAAAATCCTTATCCTGTGTGCTACTTGAAAGAAAACCAGCTATAGTAAAGAGATTTCTTTCACTCAGAAATTTTTAAATGCATGTCAATCTTTAAATTTTTAGGGGCTGGACAGTCCTCAGTAAGCCAAATTATTTGAAAGGTCCCACACACTTCAAACACTGTAAAATTAAAATGAGTAGTTCACACATGCTACTATGTGAATTATACCCATTCTTACTGTTTACCACAACACCTCTGTGATACTAGGCATGTTACTGACTTTATTATTACATGCATTTATCATTTAATAAAGACCGCCTATTTAAGCTGAAGTTTAAATTGGGACAGGCACGCAGGATAGGAAAGTAGTATTTCCAAAACCTCAGGCAATCCCACTCACTTATATATGGGAACTGAACTTTTCTTGCTATTTCTTCTAATGTGTGTCATAAAATAAAGTGTATTACATGACAGCTGTCAATTTGGATGTTTTGTATTTTTAGGAAATCAAAACTCTTAAGTGCAAAAACTGGGAGGATATCTAAGCAATGAAATTTTACTCATGCCAATCTTATAAGATTTATCATATTTTTGGACTTTAAAAGAGAACCAGGACTTTAAGTATTACATGATTAGGTGGCTGGGGCGGGGGGTTCAACCCATGGCCTCACGTGCTGGGCAAGAGCTCTATCACTGAGCTACGCCTCTGGTCATATCAGGCTATCTTATAAAATTTTTTTTTTGGTACCAGGGATCGAACTTGGGACCTTGTGCTTGTGAGGCAGGTGGCAGAACCACTGAGGTAATCCCTGGCCCTATCTCATAAATTTTTATCTAATGACTCAAAAGTCCATATTTTGACTCATTTATTCACTTGAAAATTCTTAAAATACAATAAGCAATGTAAACAGGCAAAACTTGCACTTTCAGGAATTACTGAATAACAAAATGCTATTCTTTTGATGAATATTATAGATGGTAAAAGTTTCATTCTACTTAAATACTCTAAAAATTCCACTTTCCTCCTCTCATTTTCTTTAGAATTGTCACAATGATAACCAAATTTCATTACTGTCTAGCTCAATATCGGGCACATAGGAAACAATCAGCATATCCTCAATTTCATGCTTTAATAAAATATAAATACCAGCCAACTGATTGCCATCAAGAAAGTACTAATAATGTTAGAAGAAATCTAACAGAGTCACGCTTAAACATTTTGACATATAACTGTTCTTCAATACATCTTAAAATTTTTTCTATAACAAACTCAAGAGCACAAAAGATCATTTACTACTGTTTTCACATCTAATAACTTAATCTGAGTAAGAAGTAAATACTGTGACATTATATTAAAGTTAGTGCAATCCACAACTTATGAATTATAGTAAATATCACAAGAAGTTGTAGTCATGTCCTATGGAGAAGAAAATATTTAAATCAGCTTTTAAAAAGAGATGAAATATACAACTCATAATACCAAACAAAAATATGACTGATGTACCTTTGCTGAACTATCAAGATTTTATTATTCTAAAATTACAATATCTCCATCTGTTAATCTGACAAGAACAAGCTGATAAATGAAATTAGAACAACAGTGTATTCTGGCAAAACTAGAGACTTCCTGAAAAACCTACAAAAATATGTCCACAACAGATGGGTCACTGAGAAAATAAATACATCAATCTGTCAGAGTAATGTTCTAATTTTCTAAATTAAAACCAGTAGGAGCTCCACTTTCTAAGAGTCTGTAACATTAGGAAGGCCAAAGAAGAAAAATCTAAAGATGCACATAAACCTCAAGTGCATACTGTTAGGTTTCCTGTTAAACATACTGAATTCAGGTAAAGTCCTTACCAGTTAACTTCTTCACAGGTTGGAGCCGAACACTGATAGACTGATGTGTGAGTAAGGGGGAGGATGGAAGAGAGCGAGACATGCCCTCCATAATCCGAATGTGCTGCATACCTTCACTCATTGGAAGTGGTGGAACAGCGTAGTCTGGCTCAAAAGCACAATCGCTTTCTGTGGAGATGCCACCTGTTAATAAAAGAGGAAGTCATAAAAGAGCTGGTATGAAAAGATTCTTCCTTATTAAACTATGTATTTTAGAATGATTCAGAACAGAATATAGTGACATTGATTTTCACTGTGAAAAACAAGTGTTTTTGAACGCATACATTCATTTGTACACTACTGCATATTCAAACCCAGGTCTAGTACTAGGAAATGGAAGGTAACAGGTTCCTCTGGGCTCGGTTTCTCATGAGAAATGCAGTCATGTAATTATAGTACAACACTATTACAGTTTAGATATATGATGTCTACCCAAGAGTCTCACGTGTTCAACATTGGGGGATTTTGAAAGGTGATTTGATCATTGTGATTAATCCACTGATGAGTTCACAGCTGAATGTCCTGGTAGGAAGCAGGACCTGTTTGGAGGAAGTAGGTCACTGGAGCCATAACCTGGAAGGGTGTATTTTTACAAGCCCCCCCCAGCTCTTTCCATTTTCTCTCTGTATCCTGACTGTCACAAGGTGAGCAACTTTTCTCTGCCATGCCCTTCCACCATGTTTCTACCTTGGATCTAACTCACTATGGACTGAAACCTCAGTAATTGTGAGCCAAAATAAATCTTTCCTTTTTTAAAATTGCATTTCTTGACTGTTTGATGGAAAACTGACTCATACAAATGCAGAAAGTGTTAAAATTAAACCAATGATCTTGTTTTTCCTGATAGAAAATGAAAGAAGATACTTACCTACTTAATTGAACAATGTGCAACTGAGAGTAGGATCATTTCTTTGTCCCCTCTACTCATTTCTTTGTCCCTCCCTCATGAAGACACATTAAAATACAAGTGGGTAAGACTGACATTATTACATGGTGAATCTGCTCATTTAAAAAAGTAATTATAAGCTGTTGACTTCCACTCCTGGTAATGGCAGATTATGTACTTCAGCCTAACATTTTTCTGAGAAAAATTAGATCTACCCTATGTATATTTAAAAAATCTTACTGAGGCAATGGAGAATGAACAGCATAATGAAAAATTCTAAGAAAAAGACTAAAGTCTGGCGCTTCGGGCTACTATTTATTTAGTAGCACTGGAGAAGCCAAGAAGCTATTGAGTTTTACAGAGCTGGGAACAAAATATGAGAGCCTAAGACTCATCCAAGTGTGAAGGGGCAGCTGGTAAAACTCCAACACTTTCTTTGAAAATACAAAGGTATAAATACAAATTAAACCCAAACTGGCACTCACAGGGAATAAAGCTTAGTAGTATGTATCTCTCACAAAATTAAATGAAGGCAATCCTGAATTGTTGAAGCCCACCAAAGCAAGCATAAATCTTCCTGGAGGACGATAACATCATCAAATAATTTGTAAAATGTGTTACATATAATATCTGGCCCTTAAGTAACAACAGATAACATGAACAAAGTAAATCAAAAAAGCCATTTAAATCTGAAATACAATGTATGAAAGAAGACACAGAACTTAAAGTAGCATACCTAATATGCTTAGAAAATAAGTTTCAAATTTTAAAAATAAAAATTATGAAATTAAAATTTTAATACATGAATTTAAAGGCAGGTTAGACATAGAAAAGAGAATTAGTAAACTTAAAGATATATCAGAAGAAAGCATTACAATGATGTTTAGAGCACAAAAAAAATAGAAATGGATTCTTAGATATGACACCAGAAGAATGAGCAATAAAACAAAAGATAAGCTAGATTTCATTGAAATTAAAAACTTACTTGCATCAAAAGATACTATGAAGAGAGTAAAAGGAAAACTCTAAGAGTGGGAAAAAATATGCAAATCATATATCTGATAAAGGTGTATCATCTAGAATATGTGAAGAACACATAATCTCAACAACAAAGAGACAATTTAAAAACGGGCAAAGAATATGAATAAACATTTCTCCAAAAAAGACATACAGTGGTATCTTGGTTCACAAAATTGATTCCACAATTCTGGTCACAAACTGAGGGAGAACAGAATCCAATTCAATGGTTAGGCTCAATGTTGACCTTATGAGGAAATTTGATTTTGTTCTCATCCAGTTTGGTTTGCAACCAGAATTATGGAGAGAATTGCATTTGTGAACTGAAGTACCAGTGAACAAATGGCCCATAAGCACATGAAAAGATGCTCAACCACCGCCCGCCCCCTCCCCCCATACTGGGAACCAAACTCAAGACCTTGCACTTGCCAGGCAGGCGTGGCACCACTGAGCTAAATCCCTGGCCCCTCAACCCTTCTTATATAAAGAAAATCAAGGATAAAATGAGAGATCACTTTATTGAATAAAACTGAGTAAGAATGTTCACAGTAACATTATTCATAATAGTCAAAAAGTAGAAACAACCCAATAACTGAAAATGAATAAAATGTAACATATCTATACAATGGAATATTATTTAGTCATAAAAATAATGAAAGCTTGCTGAGGATTTAGCTCAGTGGCACGGCACCTGCCTCACAAACGCAAGGTCATGAGTTTGATCTCCGGTACCCCCTCCAATAATAATGAAAGCTTGATTCACGCTATTTAAAACTCCTGTAAACATAATGAATGCTAAGTAAAAGAAGAGAGTCACAAAAGGCCACATGTTGTATGATCCTATTTATATGAAATTTCAGAATAGGCAGAACCAGGAAGACAGAAAGTAGACTAAAGGTTTTCAGGGATTAGGAGGAAAAGGGACTGGGTATAGCTGTTGAACAGCCACAGGGTTTCCTCTGAAGTGGTGTACTACATAACAGCTGCACAACATTAAAGTGCACCAAGAGTAACTGAATTATATACTTGGGGGAAGGAGGTCAGTACTGAGGATGGACCCCAGAACCTCACTCTACCACTGAGTTACACAGCCCCAAATTGTAGGGTTTAAAATGGTGAATTTTATGGTATGTAAATTTTACCTCAATAAAAAATTATAAAAATATTTACAACATACCACATATTTATTCAATCCAGAGGCCTAGAAATTATTAATTTCTTCATTTCTCAACCTTTGCATTAGTTCTGCAAAATATCAAAATATATTTCAAAAGTGCCATGAACTCCATTTCTTCCACCACTGTATTAATAAGTCTAGGCTACTATTATCCTTCCTCCAAACTTCTGTTGTGAGACATCTTAAATTTTTCTTTATCCTTGAATTTCAGATGTTTTTACCAGGATATGCCTTAACTTTTTCCTTCTCATTAGTCTCTGGGCCCTTTAGTTTACTATGTTGACTAACTCTTCGCTTCCAATTCTCCTTTCCCCTTTTTCTGTAGTCTGATCAGAAGGATAGTGTATCTCCCAGATCTATTCTTCAAATTTGTTTCTCTCATAATAGATTTCTTTAGGCTTTCATGAACAAACCTGAGATTGAGTTATACAGAATTACAGTATTTTATAGATTTATAAACAAAGAAGCATTTCATTAAAGGAATTCTTTTAAGAAAAATCAGCATTCGATTTTAAAAATCTAATAAATGTAGACAATGAATTTGATTTAGTGAGGTAGCAATTTTTACTTGAAATGTTCCACCATTAAAAATTAGCTGATAATTTTAGAATCTAGTAATACTCCTTAAGGAATCACATTGCAATTAGTCTAGTTTGGCTGTCCTAGTTTACTTTTATGTTAGAAACATTTTCTTCCATATTCTCTGCCCTATAAATTGTGCTTCAATTCACTGTTGCTGCAGAAGAAAAAAACTAAAAATGTATTTTCAAGTAAAGAAAAGTACTGGTATGCCTTAACAGAATTTTACTATATTTTACTATCTCCTAGATAACTAGCAATTTCAACAACAAATTTATGTCATGCTCATGAATCTGAAGATTGACTGTGGATCAGCCTATTTAGGGTGAGAAGGACATGATTAAGCTAGTTACTAGATTTATGGTGACATTCTGAACCACATAAATATATTTTAATACTGACCTCAGCCACTGAAAGGGCCAGTGAATACTCAGGGATGCTCCCCTCATGGTACTTCAGAGGCAATCAGGAGGCCAAGTCAAATCAAAAAACACATTCCACTGGCCCAAGTAAATCAGACAGCCAAGAATGACATCAATGGGGAGGGAAAATAATACCTGGTCCTCAACTGTGGGAGCTACTGTAAAGTTGCATAGCCCACAGAATGTATATATAATTTTATGAGACAAAAAAAGTGAAAACTTGGAAATCCAATTCACCAAACATGGACGATAACATTTACTTGTATTTGGCAGCTGGTTGCTGGGAATTGCACCTGGACCTCAAACCTGCTAGGCAAGAGCTTTAAAACTGAGCAGTATGCCCAGACCTCAATCTTCATTTTCTTTTTCTTTTTTTTTCAATCTTCATTTTCTACTGTTCTTTTTATTACTACTTTTTCTGCTTTAACCAAATTAAAAGTTACTGAGATGATACAATGGAGATATGGCAGAATAAAATAAACTGCTGATTTGCCAGAAAAAAAATATAGTTATACTGGTCACCTTGTGATCGGATGTTCAAAAGTTGAGCTTAAAAGTGCAGAGATATCAAGTATATGGACTTTTTTAAACTGTAGGAATAATTATAATTCAATTAAAATTTCAGCATTCACTAAAAATCCCCACAGTAAGTTCAAGGCCAGCCTCACATACAGACCCTGTCTCAAAAAACCATGGGGGGGAGGGGTGTGAGGGAGAGAGAGGGAGGGTGAGAGAGGGAGGGAGAGAGAGGGAGAAGGGGAAAGAGAGGGAGGGAGATGGAGGAAGAGGAGAGAAAGGGAGAGGGGAGAGAGGAGAAGATGAGTGGGGTGGGGAGAAGGGGAGATGGGGAGAGAGAGAAGGAGGGGGAGGGAGAATGAGAGAGAATATGAATATGAATGAAAGTAAATTACTTTATTACTTCTAATTTTTAACATTACATACATAACCACAAATAAAATTTATAATTAATTGCCCCTAAAGACAACAGAGTTTTTGCCTAATGTACTCTAAATACTCTTTTAATTCAAGGCTTACATCACCCTGTGACTCTGTAACATTCTCA